CGCTGCCGCGCCTGCCATTTAGGCTACTGCACCTCCAAGCCCCTTCGCCGTCGCTGCCGCTGCTGCTGTGTTGCTATTCCCCACCGCCGCCGCGCCTGCCATTTAGGCTACTGCATCTCCAAGCCCCTTCGCCGTCGCTGCCGCTGCTGCTGTGTTGCTATTTCCCGCCGCCGCCGCGCCTGCCGTTTAGGCTACTGCACCTCCCAGCCCCACCTTCGTCACTGCCGCTGCTACTCTGTTGCTAATTCCCGCCGCCGCCGCGCCTGCTGCTGTTGCTATTTCCCGCCGCTGCCACGCCTGCCGTTTAGGCTACTGCACCTCCCAGCCCCACCTTCGTCGCTGCCGCTGCTACTCCGTTGCTTATTTCCGCCGCCGCCGCACCTGCTGCTGTTGCTATTTCCTGCCGCCGCCGCGCCTGTTGTTCAGACTAATGCACCTCCCAGCCCCTTCACCGTCGCTTCCGCTGCTACTCCGTTGCTAATTCCTGCCGCCGCCGCGCCTGCTGCTGTTGCTATTTCCCACCGCCGCCGCGCCTATTGTGCAGACTAATGCACCTCCCAGCCCCACCTTCGTCGCTGCCGCTGCTACTCCGTTGCTAATTCCCGCCGCCGCCGCACCTGCTGCTGTTGCTATTTCCCACCGCCGCCGCGCCTATTGTGCAGACTAATGCACCTCCCAGCCCCACCTTCGTCGCTGCCGCTGCTACTCCGTTGCTAATTCCCGCCGCCGCCGCACCTGCTGCTGTTGCTATTTCCCGCCGCCGCCGCGCCTGTTGTTCAGACTAATGTATCTCCCAACCCCACCGCCGTCGCTGCTGCTGCTGCTGCGTTGCTGATTCCCCCCGCCGCCGCGCCTGCTGCTGTTGCTAATTCCCCCCGCCGCAGCGCCTGCTGATGAGACTAATGGCCCTCCCAGCCCCACCGCCATCGCTGCCGCTGCTACTCCGTTGCTAATTCCCGCCGCCGCCACGCCTGCTGGACTTGCATTTCTGGACTGGCGAGAATTTTGAAAATTTTGTTTCACGAAATGGCATCCCTGGATCACACTTGCGATTTATTGAATGTGCTGCTACTACTACTACTTGTATGTATATAGTAGTACTGGTACTACCCTTTAGTATAATAGTAGTAGGTATATAGTCAGTAAGAAAAATGACTTCCATACTGGCAGCCACAGCAATACCAAAATAGTGTTTGTATGTTCTCTGTGGCTACATCACTTGGAAGAGAGTGAAGAGAGAAAAGATTGGATGGCCAATTGGATGTGGCCCATTTTTGTAAAATAAAGGCCCTCCCTAATGCACCTCCCAGCCCCACCGCCGTTGCTGCCGCTGCTACTCCGTTGCTGATTCCCGCCGCCGCCGCGCCTGTTGTTCAGACAATTGCACCTCCCAGCCCCACCTTCGTCGCTGCCGCTGCAACTCCGTTGCTTATTCCCGCCGCCGCCGCGCCTGCTGCTGTTGCTATTTCCCGCCGCCGCCGCGCCTATTGTGCAGACTAATGCACCTCCCAGCCCCACCTTCGTCGCTGCCGCTGCTACTCCGTTGCTAATTCCCGCCGCCGCCGCACCTGCTGCTGTTGCTATTTCCCACCGCCGCCGCGCCTATTGCGCAGACTAATGCACCTCCCAGCCCCACCTTCGTCGCTGCCGCTGCTACTCCGTTGCTAATTCCCGCCGGCGCCGCACCTGCTGCTGTTGCTATTTCCCGCCGCCGCCGCGCCTGTTGTTCAGACTAATGTATCTCCCAACCCCACCGCCGTCGCTGCCGCTGCTGCTGCGTTGCTGATTCCCCCCGCCGCCGCGCCTGCTGTTGAGAGTAATGGCCCTCCCAGCCCCACCTTCGTCGCTGCTGCTGCTACTCCGTTGCTAATTCCCGCCGCCGCTGCACCTGCTGCTGTTGCTATTTCCTGCCGCTGCCGCGCCTGCCATTTAGGCTACTGCACCTCCAAGCCCCTTCGCCGTCGCTGCCGCTGCTGCTGTGTTGCTATTTCCCGCCGCCGCCGTGCCTGCCATTTAGGCTACTGCACCTCCAAGCCCCTTCGCCGTCGCTGCCGCTGCTGCTGTGTTGCTATTTCCCGCCGCCGCCGTGCCTGCCGTTTAGGCTACTGCACCTCCCAGCCCCACCTTTGTCACTGCCGCTGCTACTCCGTTGCTAATTCCCGCCGCCGCCGTGCCTGCTGCTGTTGCTATTTCCCGCCGCTGCCATGCCTGCCGTTTAGGCTACTGCACCTCCCAGCCCCACCTTCGTCGCTGCCGCTGCTACTCCGTTGCTTATTCCCGCCGCCGCCACGCCTGCTGCAATTGCTAATTCCCCCCGCCGCAGCGCCTGCTGATGAGACTAATGGCCCTCCCAGCCCCACCGCCGTCGCTGCCGCTGCTACTCCGTTGCTAATTCCCGCCGCCGCCGCGCCTGCTGGACATGCATTTCTGGACTGGCGAGAATTTTGAAAATTTTGTTTCACGAAATGGCATCCCTGGATCACACTTGCGATTTATTGTATGTGCTGCTACTACAACTACTTGTATGTATATAGTAGTACTGGTACTACCCTTTAGTATAATAGTAGTAGGTATATAGTCAGAGTAAGAAAAATGACTTCCATGCCAGAGTTGAACTGGCAGCCACAGCAATACCAAAATAGTGTTTGTATGTTCTCTGTGGCTACATCACTTGGAAGAGAGTGAAGAGAGAAAAGATTGGATGGCCAATTGGATGTGGCCCATTTTTGAAAAATAAAGGCCCTCCCTAATGCACCTCCCAGCCCCACCGCCGTTGCTGCCGCTGCTACTCCGTTGCTGATTCCCGCCGCCGCCGCGCCTGTTGTTCAGACAATTGCACCTCCCAGCCCCACCTTCGTCGCTGCCGCTGCAACTCCGTTGCTTATTCCCGCCGCCGCCGCGCCTGCTGCTGTTGCTATTTCCCGCCGCCGCCGCGCCTATTGTGCAGACTAATGCACCTCCCAGCCCCACCTTCGTCGCTGCCGCTGCTACTCCGTTGCTAATTCCCGCCGCCGCCGCACCTGCTGCTGTTGCTATTTCCCACCGCCGCCGCGCCTATGCG